CAAGGTTTGAGACACAAACATCCAGTTTTGGGGTGCTGGAGAAAGATGACAAAATTCAACACCTCAGTCTGCAGGGGTGGTGAGAAAAAAATGCCTCTGACTCCATCACTCAGTTCTGTACATCCCAGGCAGGAGCTCCTGAGACTGGGATCCTCAGCTGCAGCAGGTGGAATCACCTGAATAAGCTGTGGAAAGGCAGATGCCAAGCAACGACACTCAGTAAACTTTAAATTAACTTCCTCTGCACCCTGCCCAGTGCCAACCCAGTTCACAATCAAAGCTTTCAGCTGCTCAAACATTCCTCACCCTGACTAAATTTAAAACAAATCTCCTGTAAGCCAGAACCAAGCAAACTCCTCACACTCTTTTCCCATTAATTACAGCCGCAGCTTCCAGTATGATTTTCCTTTGGAGCTACCGTGATATTCACTCTAAACCACCATTTTCATCAGCTTTAAACCGAGGGATAATTAATTACTTGAACTGAAATGTTTATTTTCCCAGAAAAGATTCTTTATAGGTCTTTCCAGAGGGAAGCTTACAGGTTTTTTCCAAATTAGAGAAAAAACCTGTGATGTCTGCTTATAACAAATGTTTTGATGTATAAAAAACAGGGAGAAAAATCTGGGTTTTATGGGAAAGACCTGCTGTTAACTGTTCCTAAGTTATTGGAATTTGCAGGTAAACTCCCCAAAATATCAACTTCTGGTGGAGGCTTAGTCCCCAACTTGAGGTTGATCATCATTAAGTCAACTAAAGGTTGATCATCAAGACATTCTCTGCAACATTTTTGGGATGCTAGACGGAACTCTGCTTCAGGGATGGGTCTCCTTCCCAGAGGAGCTGGGTTCATGTCGCTTGGAGCCCCCAGGCACTTGGCTTTGTGCTTGTTTTAAATCCTACCATCTCTTCCAGGTGTGTAAGTGCATGGAGTGGTGGATTCTGTTCCCAGCCACTGAGCTCCAGCCACTTAAAGAATGGAGGAATGTTGCCTGCACGGCAGTTCCCTTTACAAATTAAGGAAAACCCATTCTTTCAACCCATTTCCTTCAACAGAAAGGAAAAACCTAAAATATTTCATGGATCCCCACTGCATTCCACTTGCACAAGACACAGGTCACTCTCTGTCAGAACAGGTGACCAAAGAGGCTCTTGAGGGAAGTAGAGGAGGCAGAGATGTAGCTGTGTACAAATCAAAGGGTTTGAGAGGGGAAAAAACACTTCTCCTGGTTCATTGGGGCCATCCAGAAAAAACCTATGCAGTGCTTTGAGTGGGAATTTTCCACTGCAGAGCATCACCTGCTATTTAGGGAAGCATTTGCTGCAGCAGTGGGCAGGTAGCACGAGTAAAGGATGCTGAGAATTTATGTCTATTGATGTCTCATTTAGAGAACTACATTGCTTAATTCAGAGTCAAAAATATCTCCAGAGGATCAAAAGAAGACACCTGGAAAATTGAATCAGTGGAAGAATGAAGCGTATTCCCTAAACAAACATTGCATAAACAACCACTTGGCCTAGAGATAAAAGAATCCATCAGTAAATGCCGCTGTCAGTCCCCTGGATTTGTTGTATTTCCACATCCAAAGTGCCCAGCCGGAGCACACAACAGCAGGAAAACATTAAAACCACACGGTCAGGCTTACAAAGCCCCTTCTATGTACGTACACATCAAGCACCAGAATGGTCAAGCCATCTGGGAAAACCAAGGTCACACAGGAACCTTGAACAGAATTAGTAGAGCTGTACAATCGGAGACATTTTATGAGGGTTTCACAAAGGCAGGACTTCAAATGAACAAAGCATCTTCCCTGGAAAGGAGCCTTTCCCAATCCACCACGGCACGCACTTGGAGATCTTCCCCAGCAAAGCTTTTTTCTCTAGAGGAATGTCTTGCACGAACACTGATCCTTCCAGGGGTGTAACAATCCCACTGCTCCAAAGTGGAAGATGCCAAGTCTGAGCTGAGTAAATGAACTTGCCCATCTGGCTATAGAGATTTCTGTAATAAAATTATTTTGGTTAATACAAAAGATGTGGGAACACAAGATACCCTGAGTTATTGGAACGGAGGCACTTAAGGGTACTTATGAAACTGCTCCTGCCTGCAGTGTCTTCAGAGGCAGGTGGAACAAATCCAGCTTCCACGTCTGTGATGCAACTCACTCCACGGTGCACTAACAGGGAATCCTCAGTCTGTGCCCTCATGCAGCAGGACATTACAAATACATCAAGTTTGGGTTGGAAGGACCTTAAAGCCCATCCAGTCCCACCCCCTGCGACGGGCAGGGACACCTTCCACTAGCCCAGGTTGCTCCAAGCCCTGTCCAATCTGGCCTTGGACACTTCCAGGGATCCAGGGGCAGCCACAGCTTCTCTGGGCAACCTGTGCCAGGGCCTCAGCACCAAATACAGCTCTGAAAACCAAACCTGAAGGCTCAGCATGTCACAAGACAGCAGGTGAGCAATGGAAGTAGAGGGAAAGCACTGCTGAAGCTGTTTATCCCTTCTCAGTGCCAGGAAAGACAGCCTTTGCTGTGAGACTGTGGGAGAAGTGAGGAAAGGGAAGGTGGAAGTGAGGATACGTGTCCCAGCACTGCTTTGAAGCCAGTCCTGCACACCAATCACTCCCTTCAGCCACGCTCCCTCCTCTCCCCACCTGCCCCCTCAATCACAGCCATGGTGGGACCCATTCGCCTAAACACATCCAAGGAATAAAACACCCAACAAAGGAAGAGTTACAGCTTCCCTCTCATCTCCCTCTTCCATCATTATTGCTGCTGAAGGGCCATTTTATCACTTGCAGCTGCAGTCATTCAGCGACAACCTGCTGTGCTCAGAGGCAGAAGAGACCTGCACATTTGATCTGCATTAAGGCTGTTTCATGGCTTCCCATTTCGAGATACATTCCTAAAGCAGCACCAACAACCAAACCTTTTCATCCCTCTAGCTCCTTGGTAGCTCCTGTGAAATCTCTCATTTATCTTTCACATCAGGCTTGCTTTGCTTCAGCGTCAGTTTGTGATCTGTGCCCCAAATCCATCAGCCTCAAACAAGGGCTGGCGCTTCTCTGGCTCCTCCTGGACAACAGCAAATCCCTGTTTTTACAGCAGCAATGTTTTTATTGGCAGAGCTGCTTTCCATCCCCTTCAGACACGAAGTGCAAATTAAGCAGCTCTTCACACCTACCAGCTAAGAAACAAAGCACTTTGCTCTCAGGTGCAAGGAGCCCACATTGGAGCCAAATTTGGGGGGGGGAATCTCTCAGACCAAGGAAGCTGTTCAGCCTTGGGTCAGGATGTTTGTTGGCACATAAAGCACGGGGAGGATAAATTAGGCCTGAATCCTTATCATTATCCCATGATAACTTTGCTGCTAAGCTCTCGAAACAGGACACAGAGGGTATGTCCACCTGCTCATTAGAAAACCAAAACCCTGGGGAGAGCAGGAACGGGGAAAGTGGACACACAGCTTCTAAAAAAAACATGTCAAGTCAAAATATTTCCTTTGCTGAAGACACAGCAGCTCAGATTTAAGGACAGAGGAGAAGCCACCTCCCACAGCTCAGCATATACTGTCCAGATCTCCCATCAACCTGAGGGAACTTGGCTCCCCGGAGTCCTTCTGCCTCTTTATTTTAGGGGTGCCCACATATAATGCAGGCCCACAATTGCCTTGTGTACCCTGAGTTCAAGCCAGTCCCCCAGAGCAGGGCCAAACCTTTCCAGCCCCTCTGGCAGAGGGCTCTCGGCACCTCTTCCCCTTGGCTGCAGAGCTCTTCCATTTCATTATCAGCCTACTAGCAAGCAGGAAAACAAGGGAGTCTCCAGGAAACAAATACACTTGGAAATACCCAGCTGATTAAAAGCTAAACTCCTCCAGCAACCAGCTGGTGACCAGCTCAGCCCTGGCTCTGGGAACGTGTCAATTATAAATAATTAAAAGGGAATAGGAAGGAGACACTGAAGTATTAAGCAGATTTCTCTCCAGGCATCTGGGGGGGTTTTGTTGCTGCCAATCACACCCTGCAGATTGTTGTCCTGTCTCTCAGACACCAGCCCTTACCTGAACAAGTGAGCTCAGGTTAACGTTTGCAAGGGAATTAATTAATCCTGGTTGTGCCTCTGCACATGAAAGCCAAAAATATCAGCAAAAACCCCAGCTCTTAATTTTTAATAACTTGTAAGCATAACCTCAAACTGCTGGAGAGGGAAAATCCACACAGGTCAGCTACAGGGCAGGAGAAATGGACACAGATACGAAGAGCAATTTTGGACAGCCCTCCCTCCGCTTGTGATCCAGTCTGCTGGAGGGATGGATCTGAAGATGCAGAGTTCAAAAGACAGCTGGCACCCTTGGAGGGATAAGAAGAGAGCACCACAAATGTTCAGAGAGGAATATTTTATACCGTACCCCACACGTGAATGCATTTTAATTACGAACAGTTGTTGCAATGAGAACTGAATTTTGGTAATGAGGGGACAGAAAGAGTCTTGTGGGACATCACACAGCATCCCCACTCTGTTACACAGAATTCCTAACTGGAAGGCTGACACATTGGGAATCCACAGGAAAAGGTGGCTTGGTGTCTATTTTCCCAGTCCCCAGCTGGCACGTCACGGCAGTGGCAATGAGAAGGCATTCCCACACGTCACCGAAATCAAACACGAGACACGACAACTGAAAGGGAGACCAGAGAGTTCTCAGTGCTGCTCTGCCTTGCTTCAAAAGTCCTCAGGGATTTGGGGACCTTCAGTGCAGGGACATCATCAGTACTGGGTAGGAGGGTAAAGAAATAATGCCTGTGGAATTAAGTTATAGAGCAGAAGAACTTTCCTACTGCATTCCTCATCTCCCAAGGGAAATATCTCGAGCCTCAGCTCTGCTCTTCCACCTGATCTGCCAGTTCAAGGCCTGGATTTGTTCTTTCAAACTCAGGAGGGGAGAATTCACTCCCCTGCCCTATTTTACTGATTGAGTTGAAACAAACGCTCACTCACCCCTCTTCTGCATGAAAATGAAGAGGTCATCCAGGAACTCTTTCCGCTCAGGATCACTATCCAGTTCATAGAGCTGGGGGGAAAACAAATAAAAATGAAGGTACAATCCACAATGAGAAAATAAAGTGATATTGGCTTCTTCTGGTGTTTGCACTGGAGGGGTGAAAGGAAACCACGGGCAAAGAGGAAAAACAAGGAGAGATTCCTGAGCAACTTTGTGGCCAGGGTTGCAGTGACACTCTGAGGACCCTCACCATACCCTGCCTTGCTCACCCCCTCAGGAACTCATCCAGGCACAGAGACTGGCATCCCAAAGGAAAGAGGATTTCCTGAATCATTAAGGTTGGAAAAGACTTCCAAGATCATCAAGTCCCAGCCTTCACCTCAGTTAACAGCACCACTGGACAGCAGGGTTTGAAGCCATCGGGAAGAAAAGGGGACAGAAACTACGAAGGCAAGTTGGAAAGGAAGAGGAGACAACCAACAGGAAGGTGACAGGGATTTGGGGCAGACCAGTGGTACCTTTGTGGCACCAGAGAGGTAAAACTTCCCTGCAGTGCCTCCTAAACTCACAATTCCCTCCTTCACGGATTGTCACGTAAGTGCTAAACTCCAAGTGCCTTGAAGGAGGAGATGAAAGAACAGAGCTTTCCTGTAACTATTAGTGCCTGTAAGGGAAGGTTCCTCTAAACAAACCAAAAGCCTTCAAAAATATCAGGAACCACCCTAGAATCAAGTTGCTGCAGAAATAATTTTTACCAAAGGGCTTAAAACCTCCAAGCAATTAAAATAAAGTTCCACAGGCACTGTATTCCAAAAGAGAGGAACTATATATGAGTATTATCCCCTGATTTTTCAGAAGGGGCAGACATGAGTGTCATCTTACAACCACTTCTGGAATAGAAAAATCTAATTTTCACCTATCAAGAGCCCTGTGAGGCCAAAAAGTGACAGGCTGGAAGGGCTGAAGTGAGGCTCTCACTGAGATCCAGGGAGATACAGAACAAGACTGAAGGCAATGCTGTACATGAAGAATTTAATTCCTTTTCTTGTTTGCATTGAGAAACAACCCTGCAACACCCCCAGGGAATTTTCTTTTTGTTGGTCGTAGCTACTGTTGTGGAGCACTTCAATGGAAAAGCAAAGATTCCTTGGGAAATACATATTTCAGCCTCCCCGTAGGTGCTGCAAGATACTTGGTATTCATCTAGTCCAAAGAAAAGGGGGGCTTTTTGGGCTCATTTCCTGGGAATCCCTCCTTTCTCACCCACTTCTGGGAAGAGAACCCCGGTGTGTTTGCAGAACAATTATCTGCCCCAGCAGAAAGGGCCAGCTCAGTTTAAAACGAATTCCTGCAGCTGGTGTGACCCACAGATGCCACATTCAAATCCACGAGCACAGGACTAAGCAGCTTTCAGAAACAAAATATTCTCCTTCCAGATGAAAAGAGCATGGACTAAAAATTTAAAATTCAAAAGCCTGGTTATTAATTCTTAGTTCGAACTATAATCCAGTGACCAAAGGCAACAAAATAGCTCAAAATAGCAGGTTTGTAGGCGGAGCTGCAGGACAAAACATCTTTCTCACAAATTCACCATAGAGCAATAAATAGTGAGGGCTCTACAGTCACCCCCTGTCATGGATCAGGGGGAGAATTCCCCCAAATTACCCCTTACTCAAAATCCTCATGATCAGACTGACCTTGGCAAAGTCTCGTGAGATTTCTCTTCCTCGGCATCCATCACCATCATCACTCCAGGTCACGCTGCCGTTCTAGGGAGAGAGAAATGAAAGGATGAAAGGATTCCCAGGGAATTTGTGGACAATTCCAGAAAGCTAGCAATGTGTATTTGGGGGCACAAAAATGTGCAAAAGCAGCTGCTGGCTTAGACTAAGATGACAAGAAAGATGGGGGACATTTGTGTATTTGTCACAGCCTGTTTTCCTGGAATCTCTGACACTCACACAAAATGGGAAGGGGCATTTTGCCTTCCAGGCAGCTGCTGAAGGTAAGTTAAATTTTCCAGCTCTAAGGCTTTTTTTTTTGCTCCTCTCCCCCACCCCCCCCAAATTATTTCCAAAGTGCTGACTTGATGCCAGGGAAAACCTTTCGAGAAGGAAGTCCTCAACACCTCCAACAGCCACATTCCTTCATCTCCTAAGGAGAATAACTACCCTCTAGCAGATGCTCTGCTGTAATGAAGTCCAACACCTGGAGAGATGCTGCTTTTGCTCCCCATGTCCCATTTTTTTTTCCAAGAGCACACCCCAGAACTCCCCTGGCATCCTTCCTTTCCGTTCTCCACATGACACTCCATACACCTGGAAAAAGCCCTGCTACCCCCACCATGCTTGCCTACAAGCCTAAGACCAGAAAGAGGGAAATAATCCCCCTGGAAAGCTGCTTGCCAACCCAGAACCCTTACTCCTGGAAGGATGTGGATTTTCCCCACAGAAATGGAAAGCTCAGCTTTGCTGGATTAAGGCTCATTCTCAGACATTAAAAGGATTACTCCAGTTAGGCCTATTCCACTTGGTAAATCATTGTTCTGGAATGACCACCAAGGGCTGGAAACCAGCAGCTCCAGCTGTATGACAGGACAAGGATGATTGTGAAATATGGCCAAGCATCTTTAAAAGACCCCACAGAGCTCCAGTACAGCAGCTGCTGCAGAGCCACTCACAGAGAAGAGCCAGACTCACCTGGCCAGGTAGGCTCGACTGCCCTGTCCTGACAAACACAAGGACAGAAAAGACAGCATGAGGTTTCAGCACCCTCCAAAAACCACCCCACGGGAATCAGGGAGGTGCTCCAATATCCGAAATCTTGGAGTCATCTGGCTGTGACACACACATTGAATTACAAAGATGAATAGCTCGCGTCAAGGCCAGGCAAAGCTCCGTTTCCCCCTTTCAAACACACTGCAGTGAGCTGCCCTAATGCCTGCTGATTTAGTTTGAGCCAGTAATTCCTGCTGGAAAGTCAATTATCCAGTGAGTCCCATCAGCTGAAAGATATTTAATGGGGGATTATTGCCACTTCTGTTATGTCAGCTGTTTATTACGGCAGATCAATTCCCAGCCCTCTCTCTGTAGGAAGATATCTGAAGACTGGTTTTGTTCACAGGAGGATTCATCCATGTGTCCTTTCTCCTAGAGTCTCTCTCTCCAGCAGAGATTAAAACCACGAGTTTTTGGCTAATTATGGAAACATCCAGCTGCTCCTAAAACCCCATTGACTGTTAACTTGGATCCAACCTAAGCCAACACCCAGAGTAAGACACAGTGGAAGGGAAAGAAGGAGGCACCAGATATTTCCCACCCTCGACTTTACACACTCCAAGGCAAAAAGATTTGCAATGGTTTTCAGTTTTCTGACCCTTTTCTTAGGCTGTTTCTTTCCCAAGTTTGGATTTGGCTATAGATTCAGACAGCAATACTGCTTGTGGTGTTAAAATAGGTGCTTGCTCCCATAGGGAATTTTGGTCGAGAGCTTATTCCGCTATGTTTGAGGACAGGGACAAGAAAGAAGTGGGCTTAAAGGAGATAATTCACTCCTGCCAGTGGGTTTGAACTTGGTATAATTTCCAGGAATAAAACTTTTAAAGGGATTGAAGACTCTTCAGAAGCTAAAAAGTTAAACAGAACAAGTTTTACTGGTTCTCTATGAAGAAAAAGGGTAATTAGAAGAGAATGACAAGGTTTGTTGCAGAGAGTAAGCAGAATATACGCACCCTACTTCCCATAGCTCCATCCTGAGACTGTGGAGAGTACAGGAGGAATGCTCCCCTACACCTCGTTGATGAAAAGGAGCTTAAAGTGAGCTGAAGCCATCAGTGTTTGGCCATATGTCCAGAAAATCAGGAGAGATGGATATCACCTGGCATGACACGGAGTGATCCAGCGTGAGGGACAGTATTAGCATTTCCTCCTGTAGTAGCTGGAAAGGTTTAAAGCCAGCTTCCACTTCCCACATTAAGCTATCAGAGGAGATAAAGAGAGGGTTCCTCACCCACCTCAGTGCAAGGGTGGGCTGTGGAAATGTGGGGACGGAGCACAGATTTGGTTTGGGGAGCAGAGCTGGCAAAGCCTCAGGCTAGCATGGAATGTCAGCTCAGCAGCAAGAATAAAGATGTGTTTATCCAGAGAACAGAGCACAAGCACCAACAGGCCCTTTCCCAGGCCTCAGCTTGGATCTGGAGGGACTATTCCGCTCACCAAAACTTTTGGGGCTGTGCCAAGGCTACAGCCAAAGACACCAAATATTGGCGGCGGTTCAAATGGCAACTCGAGCGCAGCTGGGACAGGTAAATCACTAAAGAGCTCCAGAGGTGTTCCAAATGCAGAATAAGCTCCATTCTGCCCAGCAAGAGAGCTCAGCAGGAGCTTTGGATCAAGCTTCCTTTCCATTCCTGCTTGAAAGACAAAAAGTGACCCTATGCTGAGCAGCCTCCTCTGTAGGAACGGCAAGAACCTGAGAAATCAATATATCCCCACAAGTCATTAAAAGACCTTTGTATAAGCCAGGCAATAGCAGCAGGAAGGAAAAAACACTGCTCAGAGAGGCAGGTCATTCCCTGGGGAGAGTCCTGCCTCTCCCCCCACCCAAATCCAGGGAATTCGCTGATGTTTGACAAACAGCTCTTGCATTACGACGGCTAAGAATTTCCCTGGTTTCTCACAGACAAAGGTGGTAGAAGTGGCACTGGATGTGCTCAAACCCCTGATGCACAGGCTGAGAGGGAAGGCAGAGCTGTCAGAAAGGGTTGGCCACCTTCACAAGCTGCTGGTAGAGCTAGGGAGTCTTCTCTGTGCCACAGACACCTCGGAGGCCACCGGAGCGCCCTGGGCTGCCCCTCCCCGAGAGGCTGCAGGCCTGGCTTCAGGAGCAATTATATCTGCACCTATTTTAGGATTACTCCCTAACCACCTGGAATATCTTATTAGAGGGGAGCTCAGATGTCCAGAGCAATTTTGGTTTCCAGTCCCACATTCAAGACCCAGAGTTAACCCTGAATTGCCAAGCAGACAGAGGAGGAGATGACAAACACTTCCCTGCCTCGCCCAGCTCATTCTTTGGAGGACAAAAACCTTCCAAACAAGGTGAATAAAAACTTCTGGTGTGAAACTCGAACTCCTTCTGCACCTCCTCGCTGCAGAGCTTCAGTTTGGACAGAGGCTTTAGGCCACAAATCTGCTGAAATATAGAAATATCCACTTAGGGGAGAGGCTGAACAAGAAAACCCCTCCCCTACCCCATGGGTAGACTGAAAGCACCGAGTCAATGGAAAGGTACAGGGGCAGCAATTTCAGGATTATCAGAGAATCCACAGAAATTCCTTTTGTGGGTAGAGTTAAGCCTTAGGAAGTGAAACAGATGCTATTATAAAGAAAACTGTTGTACTACAAAACGCCGATAAGATCAGGGCTGCTGCCCTGAGCTGCAAGTTCTCAAGCACAGGGAGCCAAGTTATAATTACTGCCTGCACAAGCTCTGCTGGAACTGGAATCAACCCTTCCCAGCTTTACTAATAACAGAGCTCAATTCAACATCCACGAGCTTCAAAGACGGGCTTTGAAAACATTTTAGTGATTTCAGGAATGGCAGGGAGGATGGGGAAGGAAAGAAAAGGAATGGGCTGAAGCTAAACTGATTAATTGCCTTTTTTTATTAAGTTTCGCTCATGTGTTCCCATGACCTGGCAGCTGTGGCACCAACACAGTTCTCTGCCAAACAGGAATCTGCTTCCTCATCCTTAAGGAAAAGTTGGACTCTTTGTGAATGACTCCTATTCACAAATACTCAGAGGAATCATCTAAAACCTGGGGTGGGAAGAGAAATTCTCACTGCCACACTGAGAGTCCACTGATTTACCCCAAAGTGAGAAAAACACAAGTGCAAGAAAACCACACATTCCAGCTCTTACCACCTCCTATCTCCAGCATCAGTTTGAATTCCAATAAACTGGCATTGAAGGAGATGAGCTGCCACTATTCCTATAAGTTTAGTACCTGAATAAATCTGAAAATGAAGCTCAGGATATAAATGAGCTCACTTTGCTGCCTCCAGATGCAGCACAGCCACTGCAATGTAACACATCTATGGAATTGTTTCTGGAGATGAAGACCTGGGGAAATTCTCTGAACCTAAACCATGAATTTCAAGAGAAGCAGCAAGTGGCAATTTAAGAATTCAGATCTGTCCTTAGAGCAAAAGAGAAACTGAATATTTAATATTAGCTATGCATGTAGAATCTCCTCCCACTCCATCACAAAAGGAAAAATATCCAGTGACACACAAAGGGAGCTAAAAATCGAACCTTGAGTCGGGCCCTGGATATCTGAAATAACCACCAGGCAAAAAGCACAGTGTGAAATGCCACTTTTTTATTCCTGGGGCCTTCCCCTTGCCTGGATTAACGAGTATCTCCTGAGCAATACCTCCACACACACCACTTGAGGCACATACTTAAGGTTATGGAATCCCAGCCACTCATTCCTGGACCCTGGAGCAAAAGCACGGTAATTATTTTAAGCTGACTTATCTTAATAAACACCATGACCTTTGTAAAAGTTAGGTCAGGATTTTCAGGAGTGACTGGTGATTTCTGAGAATCTACTGTGAGACATCCCCAAAAACCAGACCACAGGCCACTCCCTGGAAGTCTGTTGGCTGCTTTATGGACACTTCCCTTGCTGCATGGAAGAAGGCGCAAGAAGTAACAGCCGATGCCTGGAAACTTCGGCTTTATTTTTACATTCCATGCAGGAATGTGTGTGCTGTAGTGACAAAACTGCTCGTGCTGGTGCTGCACACCAGCCCCGGGCAGGAAGGGAGCCGGCAGCACCGAGCCACTGGCTGTGCTCCTGCCTTTCCTACACAGCTCTTCCGGGAAACCAGAGGGATCGCCGAGCGACGTGAGCACCCACGGGACGAGGACCCAACACCCAACCATCCACCAAAAACGATGTTTGCACCTGTGGAATTAAACCCTCGTTTATCTTCAGAGACAGGCAGCCCCCAACACCCTTTTCCAGCGCGGCTGCGGGAGCCGTGATGGATTTCAGGGGATTCCAGCAGGTCGGAGGAGCGAGCTGAGCACACTCTCCCCCCCCAGCTATTCTTTCAGGACTGCAATTCCCTTGACAAGCACCTCCACTCCCTTGTTGTTCTGTGCTGACAAGATTCCCACCGCCCCTTGTGCCATAAGCTGAGCCAGCTCTTTTGTCTGCCGGCTTGTCCTACAATTATTTACTTGGCTGTCCTGGGACCCAACACAAGTGGCTTCATTTTCCTGGTGGCTTCCATCTTCCTGCCATCTCCATGTCACAGCTGCTACAGGCAATCTTAGCCTTACACTTCCAAGGGGCATTTTTCTCCAAGGCACGGCTTTCAGAAGAAAAAGCCCTGCTTGAAAGAAGAAATAAAGTGACTTTTCCCCACTTTTTCACAGGCACCAGCCATTATGCAACCTGGGAATACTCCCAAAGCTGGGAATAGGACTGGTGATTAGCCTCCAGCAAAACTGAAGCTAGAAAAAAGACTAGTTCAGGAATCTTCTGGAAGCAAACTGGAGAACGCAGACGCTTCTGTGTTTTATTCTAGGTTTGCTGCCCAACACAACCATTTTGGACAAAGGGCAAAGATAAAATCCAAGTATCTTTAAAACATGCCTTGGAAATTGAAAGTTTCAAGCAAGGCAGTGTGAGTGCTGAGCATTAAACGGCCAGTCCACAGTTCCTCCACACAACTCTCCCCCCTTTCCTGCCATGCCAGCCACCCTGCTTTATTCCCCGTGCATCCCCTGCTCCCAGCTCTAAACTGGGACTCAGCAGTTCAGTTTTTCCTGCCTGGAATGCAGGCTCTGCTGGGGAGTGCAAACAAGTCGATGTGCAGTATTTGCCCTGCCCGAGGGCAGTATCCTGCACCAGCATCACCAATACTGGGCATTTCAAATGGCCTTGTGGGCACAACACCCAGCCATTCACCAGGACAACTATGGATCTAAGGCACTCCATCTCCAGTGGCTGGGCCAGGAGACAATATTTGGGGATAACAGGTGGACCTACCCACTCCCAGACATGTTTTCCCACCATCCAGAACTGCTGTAGCACAGCACACCCATGCTATTCCTTTATAATCCGCTCCTTAACTTGATGTCCATGAATTTCTCCAATTCCTTCCTTTCCTGTGTGCCTCCCCAGCAGTAAATCAGATTAACAGAGCAGTAAGAGTTTTTCTTTTAAGTTTTTCCTGGTGCAGATTTGTGCACTTTAGCTCCCAGAATAAACTGGCCTGAAAGCAGACTAAGCTGTGACCTCCTTCCAAAATACTGGATTAGTGCAGGGTTGGGCCAAAGGACTGGAGCAGCATTAGTGCACACTATGCCAATTGTAGAATAGTGTTTTATTTCTCTTTTTTTTCCCCTACTCCACATCAGCCAAGACCAGCTTTGGCTGGTCTTGTGGTCATTTGCCTTCCCAGGACCACCAGTAAGATCTGCAGGGCTCTCACAAGAAAAGCAAGAAGTACTAGCTGAGCAAGAAATAAAACCAGCCACAGACTCATGCCAAGGTTATTTGGCTTTTTTAAAAAAGTGATCCCTTAACACCCGAACCCTGCCTCCTGTTCTCCACCCAGAGCCCTGAAAGAGGAAGTTTACACCACTCCCATCCAGTAAATTCTAAAGCAATGGCCCCTTGACCAACAAACCCACCTCATTTCCCTACAACAGCTTGAGCAACTCACTTTTCTCAACCCAACCCCTCTTGTGAAGCAAACACAGAGAAAAAACAGCAGCAAATAGTTGCCTGCTGCATCCCCTGCACGTTTTATAGCACCACCAGTACAAATGTCACTCACTGGCAACTCTGAAGAGTTCCTGCCACGTGCACTGCTGTAGGAACACCCAGCTGGTTTGCGGGAACAGCCGGGCAGGAAGACCAGAGAAACACCATTGAAATACCCACTGACAACACAGCAAATAATTCCATGATCCTCTGGCATTCATCTACAAGAAGCAGTAATTCTTCAGTGAAACACAGAATTAACCTCCTACCAAGCAGCAGCAAGTTGCCTTCTTTCTGCCTTCCCACACAGGAAACATAAAGCAGGTTTGACTCCCAGGATCAGCGGCAGGACACTCTTCCCTGCCTGCCCACACCACCACCCAGAAATCCAAAGTTCCAGCATCCCAGAGGTCTGGCACGAAGGGGTTGTAGATGTCAGATGAGAAATAACTCGAGTGAGATGCTGGCAGGCAAGTGCCTGCACCAAAAATGAATATGCCATCAGGCTGTTCCATCTGGATTACCCCACAAAGGTTCTCACAGACTGGGGGTTCCTCTGTCCCAAGCTGGAAATCAGTAAAGCCAAGTTCTTGTGGAATCTCTTTATAAAAAGAATAAACCTGGAAGAGCACACCAGGAAAGCGTTGCCCTCCAAAGCGCTTCCCAGTGCTTGCAGCAGGACACTGGGCTAAAAAAAAAAAAATCATCAGGTTGACTGAATAATTTTCATTTTTAGGAGGAAGGAAGGTTAGCACTGACCTGTTTGAGCTGCTCGTCCAAGCGCCAGTTCGGGCGTCCCGCCGGGGACCCGGAATGCAGCTGCTTAGTAGTGTCTTTACCCTGTTCTTCTTTGCCCTGCTGCCCCCCCCGCTGGTGCCCCGGAGCTGGGAGAGGATTAGAGGTAGAGGCCACTCTTTGGTTGGGATGGGCAACTTTGGGAGCGCGAAAATACTTCAGAGCGGAGCAGCTTTCCTTCCCCGGCACGTCAGCGCCATCCAGCTCGCCGCCTTCCAAACCGCCTTCTTCCTCCTCCTCCTCCTCCTCGTCATCGTCCTCTTCTTCCTCCTCCTCCTCTTCCTCCTCCTCGTCGGGCTCGGAATTCATGCTGCTCTGATCGAAAGCGCGGGCGGCTCCCAGCGGAGGTGGGGCTCTGGCCAGGGATGCGCCGGGCGATGCCGGCGGAGCGCGGCTGGACGCGGCCAGGACGGCGCGCTGCACCGCCAGCTGCTGCGGGAACGGCACCTGCGCCTCCCGCAGCTGCCGCTCCCGCCGCTCCCGCGGATCCATCTGCACGGCCGGCTGCTGCTGTTGCTGCTTCTGCAGCTGCTCCACCACAGCTTCCAGCTTCATCCCGCAGTTCGCATGGCTGGGAAGAGAGGGGGGCGGCTCCGGCTTTATCCGGCAGGGTTCAAGCCCCGACCTTGGGAGACGGGTAGAATCTGAGAGAGAGAGAGACAAATATTTGTCCGTATGAATATAAAATGCTTTCATCTTTTCCCCAGGAAGAGGATAAATAGAGTGCAAAGCCAGTGCTCTTTCCTGTGCAGGAGACCGTGAAACAATCAGCTCCATGTTTAACAGCCTCGGGCTCCAACTTGCATTCAATTTTCAGACTGTTTAATTGTATTTTCGAGCCGAACACATTTGCTGGGACCTCACCCTCCTATACCCCAAAGACACCATCTGAAATGCCTTTGTCCATGGGCCCGGTCACAATCCTTCCGTGTTTCCTAATAATTTCTTTTGAAAGGTTAGGTGCAGGGTTTGGTGCTCCTGAAATGCTACCTTAAAAGGAGATAGCCAGGATGATAAGCTTTGATCATATTTATATTAAAAACCAGGCAGGAATCTGTTGCACGCAGTTATTTCTCAATTATTCTATGCTTTCACTATGTTACAGAATCCTTGGCACTTCATACTTTCTTTACATCTTTCTTTTAAAAATTAAATATGATTAAGCATACTTTTTCCCAAGGAGATGGAGACGAGCAAAGACAACTGAGCACCAAGCAACTCCTGCCTCTGGCTCCTGGAGTTTCAAGGCCCTTCAGTTTTCCCAGCCTAAGGACCCAAGAGCTTTCCCAGCTCTCCATTTTGACCTGCTGAGCCAGCACTTGAGCAAAGACCAACAGAACAGACCACAGCTGGAAACACAGCTCTGGATAAATCCTGGAAAGACAACTGCGCCGTTAATCCCCGACCGTTAAAATGACCGTGTGTATTTTGGACTTTGTGTCACCAACAGGCCCTGCTGACAAAGACTGCTCTCCTAGGAGTGAAAAGATGATTAAACAGATCCCACTTGCTGCCCTTCAAGGTTCATTGATATCAAAATACAGCCAGCTTGGAGAAACAAAGGAAAAGCCAACTACAAACAAGCTCCAATCTCCTGCCACCTCCCACTGCCCTGTTTACTGCCAGCATGGGGCTACTCAAGCCACACACCGAAAGAAAGAGATTATTTTGCTAAAAAAATGTTTCAAAGCAGGCACATTTGTGCTCTAAAGCCACTAATAATCTACCAGACATCAGTTTCCAAAGTGAAAGACAACTTCCAGCATCCCTAGATGGTCAGACAGCATCTCTCGTACTAAGTGCTGAGTGCCCAACTCATTTTTCCCCCTCTCTCTCTCTTCCCTAAATAATCATGCCGAATTCAGTTTTCCCTCTGCAAACTCCTCACTAGGTAACAACGAAAATTAAAAGCCTGGCCGGTGCAGTTGCATTTTTACCTGGCGCGGCTTCAGCTTGCAAGTGCAACACCATCAGGTGGATTAGTGTGTCAGGAGCAATACCCTGCACTACCTGGCAGCTGGGAAGAGCCTGGGACTCCCCAGGAAGGCACAACACACCATCTGTCTCCGGCTCCACACACGAGTTGGCGTGGGTGTTACAACAGCCACCAGAAAGCAGCCCAGGAACCCCCAGCCCACACCTTGGTGGGTGTTGTGGCACCCGAGGTGTCACCCGCCCTGCCCGGGGGACACTCGGCAGGGCAGGCACACAGGGACACCGGGAGCACCTCAGGGACCTGGAGGGTAATAAATGACCTGAAACTCGCAGAGCAAACACACCTCGGGGGCAGCGGCAACACCCAGGAATGCGGCGCCCGCGTTTCCTGGAGCTCAGGTGTGAGAGCGGGGCAGGGCACGGCAGGGCTGGTGCTGGGCTGCATCACAGCCTGGCACGACCACAGAATCAGCCAGGCTGGAAAAGACCTCCGAGGTCATCAAGTCCAGCTCTTGATCCAACCCCGCCGTGGTTCCCAGCCCATGGCACTGATGCCACGTCCAGTCTGTCTTTAAACACCTCCAGGGACGGGGAATCTACTCTCTCCCTGGGCAGCCCATTCCAAGGGCTGAGCACTCTCTCTGTAAAAATCTCTTCTTAATATCCAACCTAAACCTCCCCGGCATAGTTTAAGACCGAGCCCTCTTGTCCTACTGCTGGTTCCTAGGAGAGGAGACCGACCCCGATCTGGCTACAACCTCCTGTCAGGGAGTTGTAGAGAGTGATGAGGTCTCCCCTGAGCCTCCTTCTCTCCAGGCTAAATCCTCTCGAGATGGGTGGATTCGGGGTACAGCAAATAAGACCCCGGCAAGTATTGCTGTTGTGCTGGACAGGCAGCAAGTCAGCAGCCAGTTTTACGTCAAGAAGAGGGTGGTTTGCTCACAGAATACAGTTAAACCATAATTTCAAGATAGAGTTTGAGGTGACAGCTTGGAATTAGGGCTAAAACCACTACAACCATTCCAGGTTTTAAAAGCCTGAGCATGGATATTCCCTTCCTTCTCGCGTCTCTGCCTTAACTTTGGTGTCTCCCATCTGCTTTCCGTGTCCCCTCCCTCAGTTCTTGTGCCTCTCCTCCCTTGTTTTCCGTGCTCCCCCTCACTTTCTGTGCCTCTCCCCCGCCAGGGCAGGGCCAGGACTCGCTTCAACCACCCAGGGCTTTTAACCCCTTGGGAGAGCCCTCCAATTAAACAGTCCCTCGGTTTCAATTTTTTTTAACGAGCCCTTCAATTAAACAGCCCCCTTGATTTTAATTTTTAACTGGCTCAGTTAAGAAACCAGGAAAAAAAAAGGAAAGACCTTTTTTCCGAGCGGGAAGCGCTGGAAAGAGTTAAAGCCGGAGCAGAGCAGCACCGGCACCTCCGGGGGGCTGGTAAACAACTCCGCCACCGACCCACCCCGTGCCGGCGGGGACCCAAACCCTCCGCTCAGCGCCCTCAGGGAGGAACACGGGGGCCGTGCCACGACCCACCGGCCCCGCAAGCTCCCACCCTTCACCGCCTTACCTCCCGTGGCGGGTCCCGCCGGTCCCTGCGCGGCCGCCTCGGCTCCTCCTCCTCCCCTGCCCTCCCTCCTTCCCTCCCTTCCTCTTTCCTTCCCTCTCTCCCTCCCTCCTTCCCTCCCGCCCCTTCCTCGCCCGCCCCTCTTCCGGGAGGGGCGGAAGCGGCGGCGCGGACCGGACAGGGAGCCAATGAAACGGCGCAGCCGCCGAGGCGGCTTCCGGTTCCGGCGAGTATAAAAGCGCGCACACGGCGCGGTCTCTGGGCAGTCGCTGAGGAGGCGCCGCGGGGCGGAGCTCGGAGCTGAGGGAGAGCCACAGGGTGAGCGGGGCCCCGGGAGCCCCGTCTGCGGGCGGGCACTCCTAATGATCTGTTTAGGCCCTCGAGGAGGGCTTTGACGGTCGCTCCCATGCCTGTTTCGGCTCTTAGGGAGGGTTAGGGGTCCCCCCTGCGTTAGTTTGGGCTTTCAGAGGGGGATGGAGGATCGCTTGGGGGTCTCCGCATGTCTCTTGGGGCCCTCAGGGTGGGCTTGGGTTCCCCCGCGGGGGCCGTCATGGGGGGGGTAGGGTCCCCATGTCCGTTCGGGCCCTGAGGGTGGGATTAGCCCTCTCCGTGTCTGTTCGGGCCGGGTTAGGGATCTCTTGCTTCTGCCCCGGCCCTCGGGGGGTTGAAGTCGCCCGGTGGGGTCCTTGGAGGCCTCAGTGTTTGTTTTGGGCCCTCGAAAAAGGGGCTTTGGGGTCCCCCTGCTTTTCTTTGGGCCCTCGAGGGGGGTCTTTGGGGTCCCCACATGTGTGGGGCCTGGGAGGGAAAGGGAGGGGGAGGGCTTTATGTTGGGGGTTTTTGCTTCCTCGGGTCTGTGGTAAAGGTGGGTGTGGAGGTGTGTTTGGGGGTCCCTGATGGTCCCTGGGAAAGGAACAGGAATCACAGAATCCTGGGATGGTTTGGGTCGGAAGGGACCTCAAAGCTGATCCCGTTCCAACCCCCTGCGGGGGGTTGGGACACCTTTCGCTAGACCCGTGCTTGTCTTCTCAGATACAAATGTATCTATATGTATTTTGAAGGAAGAAATAGATAAAATAGGCATCTTCCTACATTGCTCCACAGACCCCTCAGAGCCTAATTTACAAGACGCCTCCATGTTCCCCCTCACATCAGAGGGGGTCTCCTTCAGGGCTGCTCTTGGGGCTTCCTGCTGTATTAAACCCCTTCAGCACCTGGGGGACACATCAGGGCTCTGTGCTGTCCCTGCTCTGTCCCCTCTGGGGAGCAGCTGACGGTTCCCTGTCCTTCCTGCCCGCAGGCTGGTCGGGATGGCGGACGAGGAGATCGCTGCCCTGGTGGTGGACAACGGCTCGGGCATGTGCAAGGCGGGGTTCGCAGGGGATGACGCGCCCCGCGCCGTGTTCCCCTCCATCGTGGGGCGGCCCCGGCACCAGGGCGTCATGGTGGGCATGGGGCAGAAGGACAGCTACGTGGGGGACGAGGCGCAGAGCAAGAGGGGCATCCTCACGCTCAAGTACCCCATCGAGCACGGCATCGTCACCAACTGGGACGACATGGAGAAGATCTGGCACCACACCTTCTACAACGAGCTGCGCGTGGCCCCCGAGGAGCACCCGGTGCTGCTCACCGAGGCCCCCCTCAACCCCAAGGCCAACCGGGAGAAGATGACCCAGATCATGTTTGAGACCTTCAACACCCCGGCCATGTACGTGGCCATCCAGGCCGTGCTGTCCCTCTACGCCTCCGGCCGCACCACCGGCATCGTGATGGACTCCGGGGACGGCGTCACCCACACGGTGCCCATCTACGAGGGCTACGCACTGCCCCACGCCATCCTGCGCCTCGACCTGGCCGGCCGCGACCTCACCGACTACCTCATGAAGATCCTGACGGAGCGAGGCTACAGCTTCACCACCACGGCCGAGCGGGAGATCGTGCGGGACATCAAGGAGAAGCTCTGCTACGTGGCGCTGGACTTCGAGCAGGAGATGGCCACGGCCGCCTCCTCCTCCTCGCTGGAGAAGAGCTACGAGCTGCCCGACGGGCAGGTCATCACCATCGGCAACGAGCGCTTCCGCTGCCCCGAGTCCATCTTCCAGCCCTCCTTCCTGGGCATGGAGTCCTGCGGCATCCACGAGACCACCTTCAACTCCATCATGAAGTGCGACGTGGACATCCGCAAGGACCTGTACGCCAACACCGTGCTGTCCGGGGGCACCACCATGTACCCCGGCATCGCCGACCGCATGCAGAAGGAGATCACGGCGCTGGCCCCCAGCACCATGAAGATCAAGATCATCGCCCCGCCGGAGCGCAAGTATTCCGTGTGGATCGGTGGCTCCATCCTGGCCTCCCTCTCCACCTTCCAGCAGATGTGGATCAGCAAGCAGGAGTACGACGAGTCCGGCCCCTCCATCGTCCATCGCAAGTGCTTCTAGAGGGGCTGCTGGCAGCCACCCCGGGCTGTCCCTGCCGGGATGACCTCCTCCTTCCACGTTGGACCAGAATTGTCCCACCGTTCCTTATCCCACATTTTAACTAATTTGTTGAGGTACCAATTAGTGATGTGCATTTTAATGGCCCGTTAGGCTGTAGTTCTCCTGTGGCTTCTGCTCCTCTTCTTCATGGATCTCTGGGGCTTGGAAGCAGGTAGAGGGTTGTTCACTTTCCCTGTGTAATGCGGATAGAATGACACTAAACTTAGTTTTGTCACCTTTAGGTATTGTCACCTTTAGGTTCCTTTGTAGGAAAACAAATAAAGTTCCAAGGTTTAAACACTAGAAGACCTGATTTTGCTTTATTTCAGGGTGGGTTCTCTATCCCCTTGAATTATTATGTGATAGATTTTGGATTCAAACCTGGCCCATAGCTAAAACTTCCCCAAATTTTGTTTTCTAAATTCTCTTTAAATCCTGTCACAGCCCCTGGTGCTGCTCGGACCATTTTAAGAGCTGTTAGGGAGGAAAGCGTGCTTGGAATGTGGCTCTTGCAGCCTGGCTGGACTTTCATGGTAACTTGGCTTTTTTTAGAACACAAACAGCTCTTCTTGTCAGAAAAAGTTGGAGCCTTGGCAGAGGATTTGGTGGCTCAAGCAGTGGCCTCTCCTTTTTTGGGAGAGGGCGAGGAGATGGGGCAGCAGATAGTGCTGAAGAGTGCTCAGCCTGGGGAGGCTGGTCCCTGCTACGTTCGGAGGGTATCTGCAGGAGCTCCTCATTCACGCTGGAGGGATGGCAAGCGCTTAATTAATGAGGTGTGGTTAATTAAAGGTGACTGCGGTGTGCCGGCCGCGCTCCTCCTTTTAAACCTTCGGCCGCCCTCCCATTGGCTCGTCATAGCCACGCCAGCCAATCAGCAGCGTCTCTGCCGGGGGGCGTTGCCGCGTACTTTGTGGGACTCCATTTCCCAGCGCGCACCGCGCGGCCCGCGGGCACTTCCGGTTCTGGTACGAGGGGCTGCGGTATCGCGGGGCTGAGGGCAGGGGGGGGCCGGCCGGGGGTGAGGGGACATGGGACACGGCTGGGACCCCTGAGCGCCTGAGGGGGGCTGGGGCTGGGGCTGGCACTGCTGGAACCCTTCCTGAGGGCCGGCGGGCTCTGGGGGCGTCGCGGGGGGGCAGGGAGGGCTGGCAGGGCGAGTCGCTGAGGGGTTTGGTGGGTGATGGCGGGAGGGTCTCACCGGAGCCCACCTTCCCCCGTTCCAGAGCTGTGCGGGTCCCCGTCTGGCTTGGCCGCGCTCAGGGAGAGCCTGCCATGTCTCTGCCGGAGTGGCACATCGCCGTGAAGCTGGCGGAGCAGCCGCTGGCTCCCAAATCCATCCTGCACCTCCCGGAGACGGAGCTGGGCGAGTGCCCGCTGGGCGGGTGCAGCATCTCCCACCTCAAGCAGCTCATCACCGGGAAGCTGCAGGAATCCATCCCGGACCCCGAGCTCATCGGTGGGTGCCCCGCCTGGATCCTGTCACAGTCCTGCCGCTTGAGGACACCCTTTTCCCGTCCTCGCCGCGGCTGGGACACAACATCCTGCTGGTGAAGTGGTGGGAGGGCTCAGCACAGCCGGATAACACGGGGTGAGGGTTCAGAGCTCTGCTCCACGCACAAGATCTGATACCATGTGGTTTGGGTAGAATATTCCCTATTTTCTTGGGATTGCAGAGCTCCAGTGGTGTCAGTGCCCTCGTTAAGGAGTCTTTGGGCTTCCAAACACCTCTGTGCTCTTGAGAGATCTCTCATGAGAGCTGTGAAGAGGTTGGCTGTTCTAGGGGAGGTGGCAAAGTCACCTTCTGTGTATCAACTCCGTGATTTCCTCCCTGAACCTCAGCTCCACAGCCTCTCTGTGTTGTTCCCTGGCCAGATGGAACAGCTGCAGCAATAACCCCCCAGAGTTCTAAGTCACACTTTCTGAGGGGACCACAGAAGTTCATCTTTGGGTGTTTCTCCCCCCTCTAGACCTGATCTACTGTGGCCGGAAGCTGAGGGATGACCAGACCCTGGATTTTTATGGCATTCAGTCTGGTTCTACTGTCCATGTCCTGCGCAAGTCCTGGCCCGAGCCTGATCAGAAACCAGGTGAGGAGCAGGCTGTGGGGGTTTATCTCTTGGATCTCCTTGGGGTATGTTCTTAAGGGACTGAGGAACAGCTTCTCTTGATTTGTTCCTGAGGTTTTCAGGTGGAATTAATCCATTTGTTTGGGAACTCCCTGCCTCTAACAGCGGCAAATGGGTGTTAATTTTCTTGCTGACGGAAGAGTTCAGGAATGAGCTGTGTGCAGTGTGGAGAGGGACTATCCCTTCCTTAGCAACCTGAATTTTAGGGTGTTGCAAGAGAATCTGGAGCAAACCTCCTGGTTCTTCAGCTCCAGGGATGAGCAGGCTTGTGTGTGCTCCTGCTCTGCCTGACTGTAGAATAAGCTGGGGTAGTTTAGACTTGTTATTTCTTTAATACAGCTCCTTTGGTACATGTAGGAGGATATTTCTATACATTTTTGTTACCTGACTCTGCAGTAAGTTGATACTCTGTGTAACTGTAGCAAGACACGAACTGAACCCAAGGATATTAAAGAATCCCCACTGCTGTTGCATCAT